CCCGCCCCTCTCTACGCGTTAACGTCTTCTTCACTTCTTCAGATCGGCCGATATCGATCGCCTTAACGAATCTCTCCGTCGTCGTATTTTGATCAAACATTTTCTAAACGTCCACGAGGTGGATAGCCATTTCAATGAAATCGCCTCGTCTTATATCCTTCATTACATCGATAGAACGCTCGTTATGCAAATTTCTTTCCAACTTGAACACTTGAAAAAGAGAGTATCTTCTTTATTTTCAACGAAACAATCGATTAACGCGTCTTCTTCTCTCCAGTTACGTTATATCCAACGATTTTTCCCCTCCATCTCGAAAACGTCGAAACTTTGGAATCGATGCTAGACACGCAGCGACCAAACTCACGTTGGAAAATTTGGATTATTTCTGGCGCTGATTTCGAGCGTACGGTCCAAAGGCAAGTTGGAGGATCAGGAGAAATGAAAAGGAGGAGAAAACAGAAAGGAAAACAGTGGAGGAGGGGGGAAGGACGAGAGCAAAGACAGAGAGCGACCTATACTCGTCGCTGAATAACGCATGACTGTCTGGCTTGAAATTATAGCATTTCGCCCCCTCTCGCTCGCACCACCGACTACCCCCTGGCTCTGGACTCGCTTGTTCGCTGCGCTTTCATTCAATTATGCATCCAGCTTCACCCACGTCTCATCCCTCCTCCTCCTCCTCCTCCTCCTCCTCTCCCCCTCGCTCTTATTATTATTTTTCCGCGCGTAACCTCGCTCCGACGACGTCTTTTCTTGCGAAACTCGGCGTCGTTGTCGTCGTCCGTCGTCGACGAAACAAGAAGAGCCGGAAACTCGATCGTCCCGCCTCGATATTCCTTTTTTTCCCCCCCTCCCCCTCGTCGCCAAATCTGGACTGGTTGGAGCTCGACTCGAACGGACGCGTTTGTTTCTTCGAAAAATTCGCCTCCAGGGGGTGGGGGAGAGGGGAACCGTGATCGTTGACCTCCCTTTGTGTTCGTCGAGGTGGGTGGAAGCCCGTGAATGAAAAGGAAAAGCGGGGATTTTTGTGATGATCGAGAATTTGCATCGATCGAGCTTCTCCAATCCAAGTGTTTACGTTTTTCTCTTTGCTCGTATTGGAGATTGTATGTATATGGGAGTTGAATATCGAAATAAAATACGCGAAGACGTTAGAATTGTTTACCTTGAAATCTCACGTGCATGATTTTTATTGCATATTGTGAAATGACATCGACGATGTTATATTTTCTTGTTAATTAGGGATTGTTAAAAATTTTACCATCGAAATCCAAATCCAAGTCACTTTACACTCTCTAATCGATATCTTCGTTATCGATAGAGAAGGTTAAGACGATAGAGAAATTTATGAATGAGCCCGTGACCCAGTGATCCACATATTTTCTCGAAATCGCGTTTGCCGCTCGTCTAAAGTTTTGGCATAGCTCGGCAAACGCAAACCGCGAGCGAAAGGTCCACGAAAGGATAACGATACACTTGCGAATAAACGACGAAATTACTCTTCTTCTATAAAGACGAGAGAAGTCGCAGGAAAAATCTAGAGACGCTACGTTTTTTTCAAACTCCCTTATAAAATATTTATAACGCGATAGTAATTTTATCTCTGCCTCTAAATATCCCTCCGTGTATAAATAAATCCTGTGAATGTTTTTGACGCACGATTCCGAGACACGACTGACTCTTTTATATAAAGACTCCCCCCCCTCCTCTTCTTTTACACGTGTCCTCTCGAAAACACTACGCTTCTCGTGGAAAAAGAAAAAGACACGCGACGACAAAGCTCGAGGCCTTCTACTCTATTGTTCACGATGGATCCCCACACGTGGTGTTTATCAGCGTAGGTGTAATAATTCGAAATGAAGCGGCGCTGCGTTCCATAGTCGATCGGTTTTTCACGAGGTGACGAGTTACGGTTACGACGTAAAAATTTCAAACGTTCCGTATATTCGCCGCCTATAAATATTCATGCCGCGACGAAACGCCAATATATATGTAGAGTAACACGAATACGTTTGAAAACGACACGGTTTACAGGTAGCGGCCGAGTCGCGCCCTCTCTCTCTCTCTCTCTCTCTCCCCCCCCTTACCTTGCCTTATCTCTCTCGCGCAGATTGAAAACGTTGTCGCGGATCATAGGAGGGGGCTGTGTAATTTCGGGCTGGTGGAAGGAAGGAGGGAAGGCAGGTGCAAACAACACCGCGAAAACACGGTGCTTTCGTTACGCGATCGTGACGAAAAATTGTAAACGAGCGAGTTGGAAGCGAGCCTCGGGGGCGGAAGTCGGCCGAGGTAGCATCGGGTAAGCCGAGAATGACGTACTCGCGTTACATTATATATACTCTGGTTCGCGATTCCGTTCGCCGACGGGCAACAATGATGTTATCGAAGCATCTCGTGTTCGAGCCGCGACTTTTCTCGTCGAGAGACGAGAATTGCACGCCCGGAAGTGGAGAATATTACATCCTTGCATCCGTCCATTATGTTACAGGAGAGCGACAATCTTTGGTGGGACGCATTCGCGACTGAATTCTTCGAGGATGACGCAACCTTAACCCTCACGTTCTGCTTGGAGGACGGCCCCAAGAGATACAGTAAGTTATCGAAACCATATCACTTTGGATCGTTTTCTAATGTTTTTCTTCTTCTTCTTCTTCTTCTTCTTTTTTTTAGTCTCTATTCCGCGTATAACGTTATTTAGCAAACGTGGAAAACGCATTTGCGAAGCTCTCGCGGGGACGAGAAGATACAACACCCGCCTCCGGTTGCTCGTTTTTCTTTCGGGACGACACGGTTCTTCTTCACGGTCCATTGTCCCCGCCACTGGCCCCTACGCACGCACCACGCGTTTCCACACACATTCTAAATAATTACGCGCCACCGTGGAGCAATTTTGCAACCGGTGGATTTAATGTCCTCCTCCTCGCCCCTCCGCTTCGTCCCTGAATACACGGTAACAACGTGATTACACGTCGCATCGCGTCGTCATCGAGCGTAAAACGACGACGGGCGGGCATTATTGCGACAGTAAGATATTGCGAAGGATACGGATACCCACCTCCTTCGATTTCGAATTTTTCTCAAATTATCCTACGTCCGCGTTTAACATTTTTCCCTCCTTCTACGTTTTGCTTCGCAGTTGCGAAATAATCGAGGTATTTCGCTTCGAAATACCTGGTGAAAAAATTCGACTTTTATCTTCCTTTATTCTTGTAATCGATATAGAAATTTCCTTTCTTTCTTTCTTTCTTTCTTTTTTTCTTTTTAATGTAAGTAAAAAAGATATACACTAGCATCGAAGTTTTGTTATTATTATATAGAAATGGAAGAGTATTGAGGGAGGAATTTTCCCTTCGAATATATTTTTATGTATAGACCAAGATTCTGATCACGATTTGTTCAATTATATTTACAGCGATAGGAAGGACGTTAATACCTAGGTACTTCCGTTCAATATTCGAGGGCGGCGTGACGGAACTTTACTACAATTTGAAACACCCGAAGGAGTCATTTCACAATACCAGCATAACCCTCGACTGTGATAACTGCGTTATGGTTACGCATCACGGAAAACCGATGTTCACGAAGGTAAGGGAGAAAGCTTGTTCGCATGATCGAATTTGTTATCTGCGATATCGATTCAACCCTTTGTGCACGAGAGTGACGAGTTCTTGCGTTATATGGGATAACGCGTGATTTTGACAAAACGACGCGGATTGAACTCTATCCCCCCTTCTCGAAATCTTCGTCTCGTAATTGCATCTCTGTAAACAATATTTTTTAGAGAGGAAAGAAAAATGGGGGAGGGGAAATAGGCATTTCTTTCTTCCATTTTCTTTCTTCACGCTTCTCTCGATACTCTCAAACTCGCAACCGCAACTCGTAATTGCATTTCGTAAATTTTATTCGAGACGCCGGCTATCCTCTGTTGCGTGACGTAAAATGAAATTTCTCACCTACGAGATTGGACGGGAGGGCATTGAGGCCGTGTTTATACAGAGTAATTTGAACGCGTATTTGTTCTGCAGGTATGCACGGAGGGTAGATTAATATTGGAATTCACGTTTGACGACCTTATGAGGATAAAGTCGTGGCACATGTCGGTGAGGACGCACAAGGAACTCGTGCCTAGAACTGTGGTCGGTATGCAACAGGACCCGACGATGCTCGAACAGCTTAGCAAGAACATCACAAGGCAGGGCATCACCAATTCCACCCTCAACTATCTTAGGGTACGTATTATTGTTATCGATCGAGCAGTGGTAATCGAGAAACGTTTAATTTTTCTATCTCTGTGCGTGTATTCCAGCTAGTGGAGCCTTTCCAGTGAAATAATGAATAAAAAATTATTTCTAAATAGTTGGAATTCATCGAGATTTCAATTGTTATCCAGCAGATTCGATTAAATTTTTATCGTACGTTCGATGAATATGTAATTGCTCGCAATAGGCGATTCATCGAAATAATAATAGTATTATTATTATTCGATTTCAAATTTCAAAAATCACTCTCTAATCCTTTATAATTTCGAACGATGGTATTTAATATACTTTTTGTGTAAATTCGCAAGTTCTAACGATGTCTCATTCGTGTTTAGTCAACGAAATTTAAATAATATACAACGTATGGCAAGTTTCAGGAATGGATTCCAAAAATATATATTTCACGCCATTTCAAAATAATTTCCAATACATTTTTACATTTCGTTTATTATTACAAGAGAGTAAGACTTGACAATTTGCTCTTCGAACTCGTCAGAGATGTACATCAAATATATTGGAAAGGGTCCACTGTTAATATTTACTTGTTTACGATAAAGGGTTAAAATGGACGAGGAATCGAAGCCAAGAGATCGGCTCGCGAAAGTTGCGAGTATCCGGGTTACGATCCACCTTCTTTCGCGCGCTCGGAAGCGCTTTCACTCGCGCCTGTCTCTCTTCTGGAACGATTGTGTCGCTTACGTTAATCGAAAGCCGACGAGAAAATATCCTCCTCGCGGAAACTTTTTATATTTTCTCTTCGATTTGATCGAGTTAAATTAGATTTTAGAAGAAATTATAAATACGAATGCGCATAAAAATAAAGTAGCGACACCAACGTTTGGAGAATCGATCGGAAATCTCGCCAATGGCGACGCGCCTACCCGACGCGAATATTAATTAAAATGAAATTAAAGTTTTGGAAAATTTTGGCCGGCCCTCCGGCGGCACTTCGCCACTCTGTCCAACCCGGCCACCGCCGCGCTATCGATTACTTTAATTGTCATCATTATAATATAAAGGCTGCCGTGAAATTACGTGCTTACGATAATAATGTAAAATGGATTCCAGTTTTATTACGGCAAACATAAACCAAATTTAATTTCCCTTGGACAGTGTTCGACGATGCAAGCCGCTCTGCCGCTCTGCTACCGTTGCGCACACCGTTGTGCGAATATATTTTAGGAAGTTTATTTTCAACCGGTACACACACACACCGTATACGATAATTTTCATATTAATAGCGTGCATAAGTTCCCTGTCGAACCCGCGTCGGATTAAATAACAGTCGCATTTATCTTGTTTCTGTATAAGCCTGTCTATTTTTACTCGAAAATTATCGAAATATATATATATATATATATACACATATATATATATGTATATATAAATGGATCAACGAATCTCTCTCTCTTTCTCTCTCTCATTGTGTAGCAGTCTCTTTTGAGAAAAATTTGGTTGGAGAAAGTACGGATTCGTTTTTTCTAGAATTTAATAAAATTCATATGGAGTTAGCTCGTTGTACATTTTTCTTTTCTTTTTAATGCTTCTTTACGCTGGAACGAGAATTATTTATTTCATCTTCATGTTTCCAGTTATGCGTGATCTTGGAACCGATGCAAGAGTTGATGTCGAGGCACAAGGCGTACGCGTTGTCACCGCGGGACTGCTTGAAGACGACCTTGTTCCAGAAATGGCAGAGGATGGTTGCCCCGCCGGGTAAGAGAGGTAGACGAACAGTTGCTTTACATGAGAAGCACCAGCCAGTGGAGCCAAACGGTCGACCAGTCTACCGCAGGATTCGTTTTTCGATCGCTCGACGACGGAATATTCCTCGTCGACTTGTTGCCGCGTTCACGGGCCTCGGTTCCAATCGGTTTCTACGACCAGAACTTTTATTTCCCCTCCCTCGAGGCCCCCCCATTATCTCATCCTTTATCTCTTCCGCGCCCACAACCCGTTGGGAAATCGTATTTCATCGCAATATTTGGGGATATAGATTCGTCCGACTCGTCAAATATTTAATCGTCTCCCTCCTCTGTGTTTAATAGTAAAATTCATACGCGAATGAATCTCAAAATTTGCGAAAACAACGCGATTAAGATTCCTCGATTCCTTCTTTTTTATGTTTAACGTTGTTCCGCAGGAAATTATACATGTACATACGCAGACTCGAAATTAAAAGGAGAAACAAGATTGAAGAAATTTTTTTTTTTAAAGGAAACGGTAACGAAACGAGACGATCTTCTATCCGATTGGCGCGATCGTTGTCGACAGATAGCGCCTGATTTTTTTTTATTTTTTTCTTCTCCCCCAATCGATGGTTGCGTGCATCTTTTTCTTGTCGGCTTATCGGCCGTTTTTATCATGCGTATGCGCCGCAACCGCGTTTCCTGTTTCGCTCCGCGACCGGGAACCGTCTCCCTCTCAATTACCCGACGACGACGACGCCCCCGTGGTTCAAGGTTGGCGAAATCATGGAACCGAGCGCGTATTAAGAAATCGTAAGAATTGAGAGAACGTCGGATTTACTTCGATGCGATGCGTGTTTCTCTGTGTAAAGATACGTGATTCGACGTGAGTGCAGAGTACTTTTTTTTTTTCCAAGTAGCTTATCTGATTTTCTCCGACGGAGAAAATAGAGGCGAATATATATATATATATATGTATATATATATGTATATATATATATATATATAGTTGATCTTGCCGATCATCCTCTATCTGTCTGTCCACCGATGCATGCATGCTTCTGTGTGTCAGAGACCTTTGATATGGAGAGAAAGGTCCAAAGCTGGGTAGCGGTCTGAAGTTTCTTAGCGCGCTGCTACATGGCTAGCGTAACTCTAGCGACCGATC